ACAGAAGGCTTCCTAAAGGAGGTGACAGTTGACACAGGTCTTGAGGAAAAAGTAGGAACTGCTCAAGTGAAGAAGGATCTGGAGTGAGCGGGGCAATTCTGGGCCGGGAGAGCTTTGAGAACAGAGGCCTGTGTGGTCTCCTTCCCACCTGCGGGTCCCTCCTCTCCCAGCCCACCAGGCTTGGTGGGGTAAGCAGCCCCTGAGCAGCCCAGCAGCCCGCTTCAAGGGCCAGTGTCTGCTCAGCCTTAGGCCAAACAGGCAAAAGTGAGGGGGCACATGGCGGATGACAGACAGGTACACACTGTGGGGTGCAGACACTGTTTATTGAGTGGCAGGCACAGGAAAGGTAGCTGGCTCCGGTGTGTAAGAGGGGGTGGCAGGTCATGCCAGGGTGCTGTGGGCATCTGGCAGCCAGGGCCACGCCCCCATCCTAGGGGGATGGCACAAGCTCACTATGACAGGAGCAGCAAGGAGCCAGCCAGAGGAGGGGGCAGTCACAACCCCCAGGATCCTGGGCAAGAAGTGGCAGACGAACTTGGCACAGGGGCCTAGGGTGAGGGGGACTGGGGCCTGGGTATTCTGTGGGGAGAGGGAGGGGGATCACGTCTGTGGGGTGGAGTAGAGACTGTGGTGGTGGCCGCCTGGTCCTGGCACCTGGGAGAAGAGTAGAGGAGTGGTCTTCGTCTGGCTGCCCCCATACCAGCCCGGCTCACGCCCGATGGTGCCATACCAGCTCCCAGAGCCTAGGCTGCCCGACATGCTGCAGGCAGAGAAATCAGGTCAGTCTCAGGACAGTGACCAGGGCCAGTCACAAGAGCTGCAGGAGGAAGAGAGGGTCAGAACACAACCCCTGTGACCTACACCTTCGGGGCTCAGGCCAAAGTGCACCTCTAGGCAAGGGGTGGAGGCTTTAGCAACAGAAACCGAGGGCACCTCACCTAGTACAGATGGGGACGCAGAGGCCATGGCAGGGCTCTCTCAGTCCCCCGTAGCTCAATGGAGCCAGGCAGGGGTCCGGGGGTGCTGAGGTGGTGCCAGGGCTCCTACCTGGTGCTCTCACCCCGGCTGTGCTCCCAGGAGCAGCCCTCGTCCTCACAGTGCCCAGCCCGGTCGAAGAAGTAGGACCGGGAGGCAAAGACCTGCCCGTTGAGGATGTGGCTGGTGCTCTGGGGGAGGAAGCATCGATACGTACTCCTGTCCCGCACTGGCCTCCCACACCTGTCCCCAGACCCCAACCCCAGGATTCCCAGCATCTGCCCCTCTCCACCAGCCCCACAGAGGAGGGTGCAGACCCTTACCAGGTCCTGTGGGGGCCGGTGCACCCGGAAGAAGCCCACCAGCAGGGTGGTGGGCAGCAGCTCCCACACGAAGAGGATGAGGCCAAACACCAGGTAGCCTTTGTTCCCCAGGTCATTCACCAGGTCCGCCTGTGGGAAGGCAGGGGCTTGTGCCAGTCTGCAGTCACACCAAAGGGGCAGTGGGACAGGGCCCGGGCCAGCTGCGGCCAAGGTCCCACGGCTACTAAGGAGGCGGCAGACTGCGTATGCCCACCTGATCAGACACATTGTACCAGTCGTAATCAAAGGTGTCCAGCCGGCTCTGGGGGGCCAAGGCCAGTGCTGTCAGGTTGTAGCAGGCCCGGCTGGCATACAGCAGGACCATGGCACCACCCATGGCGGCTGCCTGGCACACACTGGTCCCCTGGCACAGGTAACAACAGAGGACTCTCAGGGACAGAAGGCTCCCAGCTGCCTTCTACACCCTGAGAACCGCTGCCCAGAGACCCCAAAGGACACCTGGGCATCAGTGCTGTGGCCCTACCTTGGCCTCCAGGTAGATGCTAGTGGAGGGGGCCCGCCTGGCGACGAGGCAGAGGCAGGCAGCAAGAGACAGCGCACAGATGACGAACAGGGAGTCGCTCACCAGCACTCGGACAAGCAGCAGGGCCCAGGGCTGTGCCCGGCGCCGGTGGGAGAGCACAGCACACAGCACGTTCACCAGCAGAAAGAGCAGCGAGGCCCCCACAAAGGCCCCTCGGACGGCCAGCCTGCAGCCACAGCACAGTCAGCCCGGACCCTCGGCACTCACCACCTGCCCCACCTCCTGCAGGAAACCCCAATGTCCACCACACTCAGAGCATCAAGTCTGAGTCCTGTTCCTCCACTCTTACAGATGGGGAAACTGAGGCCCACAGAGGTCAGAAGGTGTACCAACTGGAGTCAGAAGTCTCGGTCTGAGCCCCAGCTCTGCGGCCTTGATCCTGGTGCCTTACCTGGCTGGGCCTCAGTTTCTTCATCTCTCGAGGGAGGATAACTCAGGGAAATTGTACAAATGAAAGATGGCTGGAAAAGCTCTTTATAAATCGTAAGACACTGGATAAATGACGGGTGCATTGGGGCCCAAGGTCACCCAGGAGTGCATGTGGCTTTGGTTCTTCCATGGCTGGAGCCTCCAGGTTACCCTCCACAATGGATGACACTGGAACCCTCTCCCTCACACTACCACGACCATTCCTATTCTTGTGCCTTGCAGATCTGCAACGCCTCTGCTGAGCCATCTGTGCCAGGTGCTTTAACTTTTCCAAGCTCTTCCACAGACATTCCCTGGGTTCCCCTTGTCTCAGCCCTGAGAGGTGGGAAGGGATCTATATGGGACTGTCCCCTGCCCCTGACCTGGAGGCTGGGCCCACCAGTGTCCCCAGTACTTACAAGCCTCGGCTCATCTCTGGCCGACGCTTTGCCTTGGCCTTGAACACCACCTACGAGCAGAGATGCCCTTCACTCCTGTGGGTCCTTGGGGCTTGCCACCTCCCACCCCCCACCCGGGACCACAGTCGGTTACCTGGGCAAAGTAGAGGTTCATAAGCGTCAGGGTGAAGAACTGCAGGCAGACAGGGCAGCAGTAGAGAAGCCAAAAGGGCAAGGGCCCCAGGCGGTTGGCTCGGGGAGTATCTCGGAAGTAGAAGGAGAAGAGGGTGGTACGCAAGGCAGCCCAGAGCAGACAGAGGGCCAGGAACACGGTCTGATAGCTGAGACGCTTGTGCCCATACAGAAGCACCAGCCAGAGCTGGGCATAGACGGAGAAGAAGAGCAGGGCATACAGGGTGGTGTAAGCGGCTGTCAGCCCCAGGGTCACAGCAGGTGGCAGCGCAGGCACCAGCCCGGCCGCAGGCACCAGGCCAGACAGGTTACTCTCCATGTCAGGGAGGGAGGCCTGAATCCCGGAGACAGAGAAGGAAGGGTTGTCGGCGGGGCCAAGGAAATAAATACGGACGGGTGGGAATTGCAGGGTGCAGAGAGGGAGATGGGGCGCTCAGGAGGAAAGAAGTTGTGGCTGACAGGCCTCTCCTCCTCAACAGAGAGACCCTTGCCCTTGGAAAACACGGGCAGCCTGGGCCCCAGGGCCCTCACTCAGGGGCATGGAAGGGCAGTCTCTTCACTCCAGGGCAGATCGGATGAGGGTTGGTGGTGTCTCCTCCCCGGGCCTACCCCAGAGCCAGGGATGGGGGGATGCAGAGGCCCAAGGAAAGGAGTCCCTGGCCTGAATCGCTCGTGTCGTCCTGGCTGGAGGGGGAGAGCCGGCCGATGCCCCTTGGCCCAGGGCAGCAGCCGCCAGGGGGGGCGCCCAGTGCCCCGCTCTCCCCCTCCCCAAGTTGGGGGAGGCTCTCTCCTCCAATAATGCGGATGGGGAGGGCCTCTGCCTCTGTCCTCGGAATTCTCGAAAGCTGCCCCCGCCCCACCCCTCCACCGCGTCCACTCTCCAGCCTCAAGGGGCCGGAGGAAGCGGAGGCCAGGTCCTCAGGCCGCTGCTGGGGGAGCCGGCTCAGATCGTGGGGACCCGGGGCTCCGGCTCCCCGGCTCCCCGGCTCCCGCCGCTCCGCCCCCTCCTGCGCCTGCGCGGGCGCCGTCCGCTACGCAAATTGCGCAGGGCCCGGGCTGGCTCCGCAGTCTAGCGCCGCACCCGGCGTGGAGCCGTTCGAGAATTGGCACGAGCTGCGCCGCTGGCGGGCGCCCGGGGTTACGGGAGGCGGCAGGCGGGCGGCCGAGTCGCGGGGGCCGTGCCGCACACAGGGGTTCCCTGGGTGGGCCGTGCCCCGGGCCGCCAGCCTTTACGAGTTCGCGGGGCCGCCAGTTCCCACGCTTCTCTCCCCCATCCCCAAATCGGGGTCTTGCCTCCCGGTCGGGGACAACAACGAATCCCAGTCCCTCGGTCTCTAAAGAAAACTTCCGCCCATAGCCAAGATGGCTCCCGGGCCCCGCCCCCGGGTCTGAACCCGCGGAGCCCCGAATACCCCGCGCAGACCCGCCCCCCGCCCCGGCGCGTACGCGGCCCCGCTCACCTGGCCTGCCGCCTGCCGGGGGCGAAGCCCCGCGGACCCTACGGTCCACCCTCACCGGGTCCCCGGCCCTCCTCCCGCGCCCGGGCAGCCATCCCAGCCAGGGAGAAGGTTCCCTCCCTTATCTCCAGTGCCCCCGAGATGGCGCGGGAGGTGTCCCCCGAGGCGGGCGGCGCGAAGCTTCCACGCCTGGGAGGAGGAGCGGGAAACGGCGCTTTCCGACCGGGTCACCCAGTCCAGGCGGAGCGGTAACAATAGCAACAATAATCGCATCCAACGGCGGAGCTTCAGTTGCGGCTGTGCCGAGCGCCTTCGCCCGTAGTAATCACTCCCTTCACAAAGTTTTCACTGGCTCCCGGGGGAGCTGTCACCATCCCCACTTCACTGGGGGAAACTATGGCCCAGAGGGGCTGAAGGACTTGTCTGCAGAAGCAGGTCTCCAGGTTCCAAATGCGGACCCCAGAGAATCCCTCTCCTGCTCCTACACACACCCAAGGTGTGAGGCAGTAGGGATGTGAGCACCCAGGCCGCGGGAGGTAGGAAAAAGGCGGTGGGCTAGCAGGTCGTGGGGGGGCGGGGCCGGGGCGGGTTGACCCCGCCTCTGGACCTACCCGAGTGACGTATCGAGAGGCGATTGGGGCAGGTCGCTGACAGTTCCCGTTGCCCAGGCAACTAGGGCCGGGAGCCCGGTTGCTGGAGGGAGGCGGCGGGCCCGGGTCAGGGGCCTCAAGATCGGGCTTGGGGTGAGACCTGTCCGCCGTCACCACGGGCGGGGCGGGACCTGGGTAGGCCCCTGGGTAGAGTCCACAAGGGTTCTGAGAGGAGACTGAGGTCCTGAGCCGACAGCCTCAGCTCCCTGCCAGGCCAGAGCCAGCAGACAGATGAGGGCCCGGGAGGCCTGGCGGCCTTGGGGGCGCTAGGGTGGGAGAGGGAGCCAGGGGCACCTGCCTCTGCCTTCCAGGACCACCGCTGGCCCCAGCTGTGCCTTGACTACCTAATATCTTGTCCTCACAGCCCAGAGCATGTTCCAGATCCCAGAGTTTGAGCCGAGTGAGCAGGAAGACTCCAGCTCTGCAGAGAGGGGCCTGAGCCCCAGCACCGCAGGGGACAGCCCCCCAGGCTCTGGCAAGCATCGACGCCAGGCCCCAGGCCTCCCGGGGGACGCCAGTCACCAGCAGGGACAGCCAACCAGCAGCAGCCACCATGGAGGTGAGTACCCCACTGCCTCCACCTGCTGGGTTGCCTCACTTCCAGCCCACCGGCTCCCTGCATCCCAGCTTCATCCACATGCACTGAAGCCTTCCAGGCAGTCCCCAACTTCTCAGAGCCTCAGTTTCCTCTTTTGTAAAACAGAGCAATTAATCGCCACCATTGTAGGACTGTTGGGTTAATTAGCAGGAACATATAGGATTCACTTGATTACAGAGCTGGCGCACGTTAAAGCTGCAAAATGGTAGCTGCCAGGCCTGGTGGCTCACATCTGTAATCCCAGCACGTGGGGAGGCCAAGGCAGGAGGATCGCTTGAGCCCAGAAGTTCAAGGCAAGCCTGGGTGACATAGGGAGACTCCATCTCTTAAAATACACACATATATATATAATGGGTAGCCATTAGTGTGGGGCCAGGACAGAAACCGGTGACAGGCAGGCAGCAATCCAAAAAGGAAAAGTGACTTGCCTAAGGTTACACCTGCCTGGCGTTTCCTTTCTTAGGAGGTGGGGCTGGAAGCCTCCTTGGTGCCCTGCCCCAGGCTCTGTGCTTTTCCTGGGATTGGGCCTTCCCGCTCCTGGGTGTGTTTTCTTGTCCTGTGGCTCTCACCCACAGCAAGGCTGTCCTGGCACAGTTGCCAGGAGCAGGTGACCTCAAGGGGCAGACAGCCCTCCCAGACAGCGGGGCTGTGTGTGGTGGGAAGCACAGACTGCAACGGAAGGATGAGCACTGGGGGTCACGGCCATTTCTCAGTAGGCTCCACCACCCTGTGCCCAGCGCTGGCCTTGACACCTGGAACAACAACAGATAATTTCGGAACAAAGAAACTAGCTCAGGCCAGGTGGGGTGGCATATGTCTGTAGTCCCAGCTACTCAGGAGGCTGGCTTGAGCCCAGGGATTCAAGACCAGCCTGGGCAATACAGCCAGACCCCATCTCTAAAAATAGAAAACTAGGTCAGGTCACTATTGCACTGAAGCTTAAGCGACCTCCTCCCCATTTTCAGGATTAAGAAGGCGTAAGCGGCCGCCTCCCCCTCCCTCTCTTACGCACACCACACACACTCACTCCCTTCTCTCAGATTGGACCCCATAGCTTGCTTTTTTTGTTGTTTTTTCTGAGACGGAGTTTCGCTCTTGTTACCCAGGCTGGACTGCAATGGTGCGATCTTGGCTCACCGCAACCTCCACCTCCTGGGTTCAAGCAATTCTCCTGCCTCAGCCTCCCGAGTAGCTGGGACTACAGGCACATGCCACCATGCCCAGCTAATTTTTTTTTTTTTTTTTTCAGACAGGGCCTCACTCTGTCATCCAGGAGGAGTACAGAGGTACGATCTCATCTCACTGCAACCTGGAACTTCTGGGCTTAGTGATCCTCCCACCTCAACCTCCCAAGTAACTGGGAATACAGATGTGTGGACCACACCCAGATAAATTATTTTTCACTTTTACTTTTCCTTTTTTCTTTTTTTTTTTTTTTTTTAAAGATGGAATCTCAGTCTATTGCCCAGGCTGGAGTGCAGTGACATGATCTTGGCTCACTGCAACCCCGGAGTCCCAGATTCAAGCAATTCTTCTGCCTTAGCCTCCCGAGTAGCTGGGACTTCAGGTGCAAGCCCCCACGCCTGGCTAATTTTGTGTATTTTTAATAGAGACAGGGTTTCACCGTGTTAGTGGGTATGGTCTTGATCCGACCTCTGTCTCTATTAAAAATACAATCCACGTTTACTCGCTCCATACAATCACAATCGTTGCTCTCCATGTGACACAGGCTGTTCCAGTGGCTAAGGGGGACCTCAGTGAACCCAGGCGTCAGGAATCCTTGCCCTTGTGGAGTTTATATTCTGTTGAGGTGGAGAGGATGGCCCATAAGCAAACAAGCACATAAGTGCATCCTATCATTCGTGAGCAGGTTTGTGTGGGGCAGCGTGGACAAGAGTTGAGAGAATCCAGAGTTACGGGGGCCGTGGGAGTGATGGTAGCAGAGGCGGCAGCGCTCACCTTGCTGAGAGGCAACGCTGGAGCCAAGACCACACAGCTGTGGGGAGTGTTCCAGGCAGAGGGAAGGGCAGATGCTAAGGCCCTGAGGGCAACACCTGCTCCCAGCTAGGGTGGGCCTAGGGGAGGTGTTTAGGAAAGGATACTTGGACACCTGAAGTTGAAGGTCATTGTAAGGACTCTGGCTTTGCCTTTGAGTGAAAACCTGGAAAGGCTTTGGGCAGAGGCAGCATGGTCTGATTTAGACATTCAGAGAGTCACCAGGGAGGTGGTGAGAAGTAGCTGGCCTCTGGATTTATTTTTAAAACAGAGCTGGCAGGATCTGCTGATGGACTGGATGTGGGGTGTGAGGGAAAGAGGAGCCAGGATGATGCCAAGGAATTTTTAAAAAATTATTATTGGCTGGGTGCAATGGCTCATGCCTGTAATCCCAGCACTTTGGGAGGCTGAGGTGGGCAGATCACGAGGTCGGGAGTTCGAAACCAGCCTGACCAACTTGGTGAAACCCCCGTATCTACTAAAAATACAAAAATTATCTTGCCATGGTGGCACGCATCTGTAATCCCAGCTACTTATGAGACTGACGCTGGAGAATCGCTCGAACCCAGGAGGTGGAGGTTGCAGTGAGCCCTGATCGTACCACTGCACTCCAGCCTGAGCAACAGAGCAAGACTCCGTCGAAAAAAAAAAAAAAAAAAAAAGGATTATTGGCTGGGTGCAGTGGCACATGTCTGTAATCCCAGCACATCTGGAGGCCAAGGCAGGCAGATCACTTGAGGTCAGAAGTTTGAGAGCAGCCTGGCCAACGTGGTGAAATTCTGTCTTTACTACAGATACACAAATTAGCTGATGTGGTGTCAGGTGCTTGTAATCCCAGCTACTTGGGAGGCTGAGGCAGGAGAATCACTTAAACCCAGGTGGCGGGGGTTGCAGTGAGCTGAAATCATGCCGCTACACTCGAGCCTGGGCAGCAGAGTGAGATTCCATCTCAAAAAAAACTAAACAAAAAATAAGGCTGGGCATGGTGGCTCACGCCTATAATCCCAGCACTGTGGGAGGCTGAGGCGGCGGGTCACCTGAGGTCAGGAGTTCAAGACGAGCCTGGCCAACATGGTGAAACCCCATCTCTATTGAAAAAATACAAAAATTAGCCGGGTGTGGTGGTGCAAACCTGTCATCCCAGCTGCTGGGGTGGCCGAGGCATGATAATTGCTTGAGCCCCATAGACAGAGGTTGCAGTGAGCTGAGATCACACCATTGCACTCTAGCCTGGGCGACAGAGCAAGACACTGTTTCAAAAAATAAATGAATAAATAAAATGATTATTACTTTTAGAGACAAGATTTTGCTATGTTGGCCAGGCTGGTCTTGAATTCCTGGCCCCAAGTGATCCTCCCACCTTGTCCTCCCAAAGTGCTGGGATTACAGACACAAGCTACAGTGCCCAGCCAACACCAAGGAATCTGGCTTGAGCACCCAGTAGGATGAAGTTGTTCAATGAAAAAGAAACACTGAAGGGTGGGGGAGGATCTGGAGGCCACCCTAGAGGGTGGGCTCACTCTAGGTGGCTTTTTTTTTTTTTTTTTTTTTTGAGACGGAGTTTCGCTCTTGTTACCCAGGCTGGAGTGCAATGGCGCGATCTCGGCTCACCACAACCTCCGCCTCCTGGGTTCAGGCAATTCTCCTGCCTCAGCCTCCTGAGTAGCTGGGATTACAGGCACGTGCCACCATGCCCAGCTAATGTTTTGTATTTTCAGTAGAGACAGGGTTTCACCATGTTGACCAGGATGGTCTCGATCTCTTGACCTCATGATCCACCCGCCTCAGCCTCCGAAAGTGCTGGGATTACAGGCTTGAGCCACCACGCCCGGCTCTAGGTGGGTTTTAAGCATCTGGTGGGATTTCTGGCAGGGTGCTGGTGGGAGCTGGCAGGGAGTAGAAGTGAACCAGAGTTGTGCTTGTCTCAGCCCAGTCAGGGGCAGGAGCTTCAGGTGTGTGCAAAGGAGGGAAGGGTGGGTGTGGGGTGCAAGCTGGCTCAGCTTCAGGGAGAAGAGCGGGCCCTGGGAAGCTGCAGCATCGTTGGAGTTGGGGTTCCAAGGGCGTGACCCACACAGGTCGGGTCAGCTGGTGAGAAGCCTGAGATGGAGTTATTTGATGGTGACCAGGCCTAGGTTATGCCCTGGGAATGAGTCTACGGGGAGAGTGGGACCAGATCATGGGAGAAGGAGTAGCAGGGTATAGAAAGGAGACGGGGAGTGGCAGAGGATGGGAGTAACTTTGAGCACAGGCCAGGGGCCTGACCGGGGAGCCGGGCCTGGGAGGGGCCTGTGCCGTAATTAGGAGCAAAGTGGAGGACACCTGCCCCCACTCCCAGCTGAGGACCCGAAGGCAGGAGGGCTGCGGGAGAAGACGGCCACCAGGTGAGGACAGAGCTGGGCTTCTTAAGCTTTTGGTTTAGTTTTCAGTGTCTCCAAAAGCAAGTGATTTCCCCAAAAACGGTCGGCAAGCGCCAGTGCCCTGCCAGGGCCACGGGGCCTCCGCCTCCCTCTACCTGCGCAGAGCAGCTCACCCTCAGTACAGTCACTCACGGGGCCTCTGTCCCCATGACCTGCGCAGAGGGACTCACGCTGGGTTTGGTCACTCTTCACAGTCCCTGCCACCAGCCCCTGCTGGCCGGCCGAGCTGTCCCCAGGCCAGGGTCTGTAGCCCCCTGTGCTGTGGACAGTTCACACGGTTCAGTATCTGAGCAGGTGTGGACAGCGGAGGGCAGAGAGAAGCAGCCCAGCGCCAGCCCCTGGGCCAGACTGCAGGGTTCAAACGCGGCTCTGCCATTCCTAGCAGGTTGAGCTTGGGCAGGTTAATTAACTCCATCTCCCTGAGTTTCCTGGTCTGTGTCAATGGGAATAGAACTAGTCCCACCTCACAGGGATGTTGCAAGGACCTCATGAGGTAATACAGGAAAAATGCTTGGAAATAGTGCCTGGCTCAGAGGAGGGCTAAGTGTT